GCGCGCAGGTACTTGTCCGCGTGCCCTGGGCTCTCTTCGTTTCCTGATTGGATGGAGGTGGGGTCACGTGGGCCTCGGAGCGAGGGAAGAGGCATGTGTCTCTCTGAAGCGAGAACGAAGTCGCCTGCCCTTAGGATGTCTATATGGTGCCTTTTGGCAATGTCCAACTCCTATTTGCCCAGTTTTGTACAGCCTCAAAACCAGAAAGAAAGCCATTAGTGATACCTTTATTGACCAACCAAAATGCACAAGTATATTGTAATAATAATAATATTAATAATAATATACAACAAGTATATTTTGCATTTTGGTTGGCCAGTAAAGGTATCACTGATGGATTTTTGCTTGAATTTGCTAAATGGCCAACACAGCTACCCCTGAATGCTTCCTCAAAACCAGAGTGGCTGTTGGACTCCCAGTTCCCGTCAATCCTAGGGATTATGGGAGCTGCAGTCCAGCCACACTTGAAAAGTTGCATGATGCCCAGCTCACTTCTAAACCCTGCTTTGATTTGAGGGGTCAGCCTTTCCACAAGGCAGAGTGATGTGGCCGCCTCAGGTGACCGCATCGTTCCCATTTTCCCAACCAGACTCACCTTCCTCTCTCATGGCTATGCTTCAGTCATACTCCTCATGCCTTCTGCTTGCCTCACTCCATGCTGTTGTGTTGGTTCCACAAAGCAACCGGTTCTATGTGAAGTTAAAGACTTTCATGGCTGGCGTCCATAGTTTTCTGTGGGTTTTCCAAGTTATGTGGCCATGTTCTGGAAGACTTTATTCCCGACATTTCGCCTGCATCTGTGTCTGGCATCTTCTGAAGATGCCAGCCACAGATGCAGGCAAAACATCAGGAATAAAGTCTTCCAGAACACAGCCACATAGTCTAGAAAACCCATAGAAAACAACCAGTTTTGCTTTAAACAGTACAGAAGCAAGTGGAAATGGTGCAGCGTGACCAGCTGTTCTCATCGCAAAGGAGGACAAGGCATCGCAAAATGTAGGGTGTCCAAGAAAAATGTAAGACACGGCCAAATAAAAGCTAAGAACACCCATATAAATAAAAATTCCTGCTTCATAGTCATGCTCAAAATGGAGGACATTTTTGAAATTCCTCCTGGATAGAAGGCTGAAATGCAGGGCATGTCCTGGAAAAGGAGGGCACCTGGTCACCCTGCAGTGGTGCCACTGACAACATGAGTCAAATGTTTAGCAGAGGAAGAGGGAAGTGAGACAAGATGGGGCAGCGGGCAGCAAAAGGCAATGACAAAGAAGAGCAAGAGCTCCTCTTTTCCTCCTGTCTGAATCCTCACTGCTACTACCTCTTGCACACACATATGCACATACCTTGCACACACACTATACCTTACTTCCTTCTCCCCCTGCTTCTAGCCTTGTGGGGATTGCAGTACCATTCTTAACTTCCTGCCCATTTGCCCACATCTGTTTAAAAGTGACAGCACCAATGGAAGGGTGGTAGCTCCTTTACTTGTGCCTCGGATGTCAGGAGAGCTTAGGTTTCCCGTTTCCAAACCAGTGTAAAATCTGCACATAGAATCACAGTTATGGGGGCTGTACATCCATTTATATCTTTACACGTTGTTGCATCAGGGAGCTGAAAATAGTCATCACTTCCCAATGCTTGCACACAAGCTTTTTAAGCTTAGAGAAAAACAAGTGGGGAGCATGACAGAAGTATATGAACTTATGCCAGATGGGTAGCAAGGCAAGAAATGGTTCTCACTCTCTGAAGACTAGAATCCAGGGTCATCCACTAAAAGCAAACTATGTGGTTTCACGATAGATAAAAAGTACATGAACTTTAGGATTGACTGCCATAACAGACAAGTCATTTTGTTGATAACGCAACAAGTTGAAACAAGTTTCATATTTTTTTTACTTCCATTATATGAAGGGATATTCCTCTCAACAGAAGTTGCTAGTGAACACAAGTGTGGGTGGATGGGTGGGGGCTGTTATTTTGCTTATGAGAACCTTGTGAGCTTCTCTTGAGCATCTTGTAGGGACATAATGCAATTGGAAAGGGATTTGGTCTGATCTAGCACAACTCTTACATATGTTCTAATCTATATGGTTGGCACAATACAAAACAAGGTAACATGCAAGTAAGTTGAATTGCATTCAAGCATTTTTAACAGGTCTGATTTCACACATAAGGGAAATGATATGCTCTTGGTGGATCCCATTTTCTATCTGCCTCCACCTCACTTCCCAGCAGGCCCAGTTGCACTTTCTGAAGTGAAACTGAAGGTAGCAAGCAGCAGCTTCCCACTGCTTGCTCACCCAAGAAGGCAAGTGAGAGAGTAAGTCACAAATATCCATCACTGCTTCTCTTCTCTGTGCAGCATGACATTTGGAAATGGGCTCACCTCCCATAGAGGGAAGACGATGGGAGGGGGAATACTATTGGAACAAGAATCTGCCACCATCTCAGAGTGACCAGACCTCCTCCTTATCCAGGTTATGTCCTACATTTCAACCTCCTGTACAGGAAGAATTCCAAAAAGTCCTCCATTTTGAGCATGACAAAGGGGGATTGCAGACTGCCAGAAATAGTGCAAATTGAGTCCACTTTTAGGGTTAGGGTTAGGGTTAGGGAATCATGGGAACTGTATTTTATTGTGGCACCAGAGCTCTCTGACAGAGAAGGCTCAATGTCTCAGAAAAAAACCAATTTCCATGATTCCCTAGCACTAACCCTAAAAGTGGACTCAATTTGCACTATTTCTGGCAGTCTGCAACCCCCCTAAGAAGCATGAGTTTACATTTATATTAGAGTTTTTAACTTTTGTTTGAGAATCGCCTACATTTTTCTTGGACATCCTACATTTCACGGTGCCTTGTCCTCCTTTGTGGTTATGACATCTGGTCACCCTGCACCATCTGCATCCCCTCTCTCTGTCTCTTGACAATTTGCAATTGGGATTGTGGAAGCACCTTGCTACCATCATTGGCCCAACCCATGAACATCTTCTTCCTGTCATTTCACAAACTATCACACAACTATAGCACTGTATTAGCATTATATTCAACTTTAACTGCCATGGCAACATCCTATGAAATCTTAGGATCTGAATTCTTTGCCAGAGAACTGTAGTGTCTCACCAAACTACAGATGCCAGGACTCCTTTGGATGTAGCCATGGCAGTTATAGTATAATCATAGTGCTGTGTAGTGTGAAAAGGCCCTGCAACTCAGAATGGAGGTGATGGTTCCCTTGGATTGTCACTTCCTGCTTTGATAGAGAAGAGGAGTTGCTTCAAGAGGCAACATGAAAACACAGTAGATGTATAGGCACACCAAGGAAGTTGAAACTTCCCATGGGACCCTAGTTGTACCTGCTGCCCTTCGTTGATGGTGACAGGAGATCTATAGACATCCATAGCTGCCTGACTGTTTCATCTGCTGATTCCAGCCCTGATTTTACCTATAGAACACCCTTTCCCAACATGGTTCCCTCCATATGTTTTGGCTTTTGGCTCCTGTTAGCTTTAGCCAACATGGCTAATGGCTAGGATTCATATGCGACCATAACCCTCTGGACGTGCAGGGGTAGGCAACCTTTCCCCTTTAAGGGCCGAGG